CACCTGACAGAACCAAAGGCAAGTATACTAGTTTTGGATTCCTAAAGTAGTCTAAATAAAGGGTGATTGTGGCCAAATTTAATGTAGTTACCAAGTGAGGAAGATACTGGAAGAAATCAGGATATATTCAGGGAGCAGGCAAAATAGGAATTGCCGTCGAAGTGAATGTGAAAGGCAAAAAAAAAAAAAGGGGGGGGGGAAGGAGCAATAACAGCACCAGAGCTACTACAGGCTATTAACTGAGACAGGAAACACAGCACAGGATGGGGAGGGGCTCTTAATTTTCAGCAGAGTGAAGAGTAAAAAACTTTGGCAATATGAGAATGGATCTCTAGAGAGAGGAGTACTAGGATGAAGTTTTGAAAGTTACTCAGCTAGAGCTAGGCTGCACACATGAGAGATGGGGCTGTGGGCAGAACAGACCAGGCAGCTGCATCTACCAGTATGTGCACTGGCTGGTGCAGGTGACAGACCACACATGACCCTGAATGCCTGCGTGCACGCAAGAGTCAAATCTGAGGTCATCCCAAGCAAGGTTTCTGAGGGACTCCCTCCCAACTACATGGCCGGACTCAAACCCCTGCCACAGGGAAAATCACAATATATGTGGTATGATCTTAGAGTGCATGTATCAGGATTCGTCACCTCAATTGTTAATGCCTATGCATGAGCAGATGCACATAGGGGATGTGAAAGCCAGCTCATCTAGGCCAGCAGAGGACACGGGGATGCTTCACCAGAAGATGGAAAAAGGAAGATGGAGCACTCTCCAGGCCAAGCTTTGCAGCAAGTACCTGGGTCTGTGGATGCACTAAATCAAACAGATTTTATCAACTCTGGTGCAACAAAGCTGACAATGTCTGAGAAGTATGAAAACCACTCAGGTAACACCCTAGGAACGCTCTTCCCACATCCATGTCTCTAAAGCGTCATCAAAGGACTGTCCCCATCCTCAGGTGCTGATGTAGTTTGACAGCAAGGTGTGGCTCCTCCCACTCCCTCCGCTGCAGACACAGGAGAAAAAATATTGAAACACTTGTCCCACTCACCTTCCTCCATACCTCAATTTAAAAATTAAATTGAATTAAAAAAAAAATTAAATTGAATTAAAAAGAAAGCTATTCAGCTAATAATAGTTAAACATTATAAAAGTGAATGACATTTCTTGGAACTGGATAGACATAATGGAAAATAAAATGGGAGACATATTTCCTGAAAGAAACAGAGTAGGAACTGTCAAAATGAGAGTAGAAGTGGAAAGTAATGATGTCACAGAACTCAAGAAGGGGGTTGAAAGAGGAATGCTGAAAAATACTAAAGGATAAAGATAGTTCAAGTAACAAAATATTATAAAATTTGACTACATTTACAATTGAAGTGTTTGATAACTTGAATAAGTTCTAAGGAAATCACATGTGATTACATGCCAAATCTTCTTGCATTTCTAAATTTTTTTTATCTCCCTCCTTGCAATCAGAACAAGGGTCTTGGAACACTTAAGAGGTAAGATATATAATGTAAATGTTTAAAACTAGAAAATGTCTAAGACATGGTTTATGAGAATTCACAGTCCAGTAATACACATAGATTAAATATACAATAACTTTCTTTTTTCTATATTTTTCTATAATAATACGTTTTGGAAGTTCAACAGAGAATACCGTTGCCTGGAAGTGTTCCACAAAGCAGTAAAAAACAAACAACAAACAAACAAAATCCTCCAAAGACCATGATAACATACAGAAGGGAGTGATTTTACTTTCTAGGATGTTATCACGGACTTTTTAGAAAAGATCCAATTGAACTGCTCTTTCTATCATGATGAACAACATAGCAATTCTAATATGTACAGTAACCTTATAGTAACAACAAGTACTTCAACATGCTATCCTATGAAGTCAGAATTACTCGTTGAGATCTCTTTAAGCTGAGGAACCTGTGCTTACAGTGGTTAAGTAAGTTGTTCCAAATGTCATAGGCAGCAGTATTATTGTTCACCTCAGCACAGTGTTTTAGAAGCATCTTCATTTATGTTTAACATGATTATTTCTCAGTCATGTATAAAAATTAGCTAAAATGGGACACTTTGGATGCAACAGATACTTTCGGTGTACTGAGTACTGAAGGAGTAAATGGGAAGTGAGAGTGATGCTGGCATTGGAAGCAGGTGAAGCAGCTGCCTGTGATGCTGGCACCAAATACGAGTGCTAGGTCAGGTCCCAGCTGTCCTACTTTAGCTCTAACTCCTGTCACATGCCTGGGAAAGCAGTAAAAGAAGGCTCCAAGTCCTGGGCACCTGCACCAATGTGGGACATTGAGATGGAATTTCAGGCTCCAGAATTCCACACTGGCACATCTCGCCACTGCAGCTACTGAGGGAGCGAACCAGTGTATGGATCATCGCTCTCTTCTCTCTCTCAATCTCTGTCTCTCCCGAACTTGTCTTTCTAATAAATAAGCACAACTTTATTTTTACCTTTTAAAAAGATGTATTTATTTTTATTGGAAAGTCAGATATACAAACAGGAGGAGAGACAGAGAGGAAGATTTTCTATCTGTTAATTCACTCCCCAAGTGCCTCAACGGCCGGAGCTGAGCTGATCCGAAGCCAGGAACCTGGAACCTCTTCCAGGTCTCCCATGCTTGTGCAGGATTTCAAAGATTTGGGCCCTCCTCCACTACGTTCCCAGGTCACAAGCAGGGAGCTGGAAGGGAAGTGGGGCTGCTGGGATTAGAACTAGTGCCTGTATAGGATCAGGGGCATGCAAGGTGAGGACTTTAACTACTAGGCTACCATCCTGGGCCCAAGCCACCACAACTTAAATAAATAAATAAATAAATAAGTAATGACTATAGATCAGTTATTTTAAAAAGTTTGGGAAGAGAACAGAAAATGTGAACTAGTTTGGTTTAAATTTAAAATTGCCTGGATTACTGAAATATTTTCAAAGAACTTTCCAAAATATTTTAAAATAGCAGTAATTCACATAATATGGAGAATGCTAATAGCATTTTACACATATTTTTTGTTTCCTTCAGAAAAATCTTTTTAAACATAAGCAAGAAAGATATCTACAATGACTGAGTACGAAAAGAAAAGCCGTATTTTATGTAGGTCTTGTTGAAAATCAGAAGATTGAAGATTTAAATTTAACATATACCTCTAATAAATGACATAGCTGTACTCAAACTCAATTCATGGAATGATGCCATTTCTTAAAAATAAAGCGTGTGGGCCTGGTGTGATTAGTGGCTACAGTCCTTGCCTCGCATGCTCCAGGATCCCATATGGGTTCTGGTTTGTGTTATAGCTGCTCCACTTCCCATTCTGCTCTCTGCTTGTCTTTTGGGAAAGCAGGAGAGAATGATGCAAAATCTTGGTACCTTGCACCCATGTGAGAGACCAGAAGAGGTTCCTAACTCCTGGCTTCAGATGGCTTCATTCTGTCCGTTGCAGCCACTTGGGGAATGAACCAGCAGACAAAAGTCTCTTTCTCTCTGTAAATCTGTCTTTCCAATAAAAAGAAATATATCTTTGAAGAAAATAAAGTTTTGTCTATGGCTAAATGTGCAAAATAAGAATTACATAATTAGTTTGTCATGCAGTCAAAATTGTTCCATTTAAAGCATGGTGTGGGAAGCTGTTATTTTTGCTTTTTGGTATATAAATGTTCTTTATGTTACAAACTGCTGGTGACTTGGTAAAATTTAAAAGTTAAAAAAAGTTGAGAACATTTCCAAAGATATTTTTAGGAAAATCTAAATGATTTCTGGGAACTACTCTTTAAGGGAATTTCAGTCATCTATTGAAATTAAAGGATTATATAAAAAAATCTTGGGGATTTGTAATTACTTGTACACTTTGAGCAAACAGAGCTAAATCGGAAACTAACTGTCAGAAGTTACTACTGGGATTTGCAATGACATGAGATCTACCTATGTATCCTCGTGTTCTTACACTGACAATGTACATCATGAACAAGGGCATACATCTGCTGAGTGAATACAAACAATATTTAAGCCTTTAAAAATACATGCATAATTCCTATGCAACTCCAAACTTTCAAGGTATGCTGGTAGTTTTATGCACAATCCCTAAATGCTTTAAAAATAAAGTTGACTACAAATTTACTTGAGCTTGGGTTATTAATCAAAATCTAATTTCAAGATATTTGGGAACTGTTGAGACGACTTATTTTCACGTAAGCAGTAGTTAGAAGAAATCTTGAATTGAAAAAAGAGGGGAAAAAATTAAGAAAATTGAAGGTGAGAACTAGTGAATGATGCAATATTGTTAACAATATACAATAAAGGCTAAACGTCAAGTTCTATCACATTCAAGTTGCCTCAGAAAATTCTGCGACAAAGCTCAAGCCCCATAAATTAAAAAGTGACTTCCATGCCTAGTAAGTTGCTAACTTTCTACTAACTGTCACAAGGACTGATTATGCAGGTTTATTTAAATTTTAATAAAAATGCACGGATCACTCAAAAAAACCCAAATATAATTATGCAGAGTGAAAAGCTGTACTGAATAGTTTTAGAAGAACAACAGAAGAAAATTAATTCCTCCATCCTGAATTCTATGCAACCAGAGGTCTCAGTCTGCAAGGTCACGGAAAGCTCAGCTGGGGCAGGATTAATGTGAAGCCAAATGAGCATAGGTGGTAATTTGCCTCTTCTCCTGGCTGATGACTTGGCCTGTTACTGGGAGGTGTGAGATGGTGTAGATGGTGAGGTCTCAGCAAACTGAAGAAGATCAATTAGGAGAAAGCATGCTGATTTGCCCTAGTTAAAAACAATGATTCTCCAGAGACAGCATCCCGATCCTAACTATGAATATGATGCCCACTGTTATGAGTTCATTTAATTCAAAATGCTTTTGTCTTAAACTATGTAAGTGGCATGAAAACAACTGCATATTGTTTAGTTCTTCAAAGAATACGTACTTTCTTTTGCTTTGCCTTCGGTTTTGGAAAGGATGCAGTGTAGTTACTTACTTCTGAACTTTCTCGCTGGCCACGTGCGAGGCCTCCACAGCGAGCTGAAGCTGCAGCTGCATGTGTGCTCGCTCGCTCAGCGCTTGCTGCAGTTGGGCAGCCAGCTCCTCATTTTGTTGTTGAGTGATAGAGACAAGGCTCTCCCGGCTTTTCAGAGCTTCTTCATAGGTACTGAGGGTATGGTTAAACTGATCCTTCAGATGCTCTTCTTGAGACAAAGATTGGTGCAAACTGAGGAAACACAAAACAGTACAAATACAAATAATCTAGGATGACTGATCAATGATCTACTTAGCAAAAAATCCCCATGTATAATTTCCATTTCAAAAAAATCAATACAGAATAAATAGGATCACAAAATAATTTTGATATCTAGTTACACTAAGTAAAAACTATTCTATTGTTCTGCTTCTTGGCTGAAAATTACACAAATGATTACCCATGCCAAAACAGCATGCAAAATTAGATGCTTCAAGACGTCGATTATATCAGTGCAATATTACTTTCAATTTTCTTTCAAATAGTAGAGAACTGTAAAATAACATATTTTAGGTAAATAAATAAATATAATAAGATGATTTCAAAGAAATGAGAAGTGAGACATTGGGCATCAGTTTAGTAGATCCAGCTAAGCACTTAATTGAGAATGAATGATATTTGTGCAACTAGCCCTGTACATGGAATTTTTTACTTGTCACAGTTAAGATATAAATGACGTTAAGTATCAGTAGCTAGATTGAATAGAAATAATAAATACCCAGGTTTATTTTTTGCCTAATAAATCCTATGTCAAATACACACACTCATTAAGACATACAGAGGAAGAGCATATAAATTAAGACTAAATGAATGCAGAAGAAAATGCAGACAAATAGAACGCTAAAATGCTAAAGGTCAAACCTTTGATATGTCATTACACCTACCACCTGAGGTTATTTTGAAATGGCACCAAGCACCTCACTCAATTAAATAAAGACATTTTGAAAATATAAATATTTAATAAGAGAAATTTAAAATCCACCTAGGAGATGTTCTTTTTTATTAAATAAAATCATTCAGTATATGCATACAAAGGAAATGTCGATTGGGGACTTGACGTGAAACAACGTAACTATATAATCCAGATTGACAGTGGCACAGACAGCAGTCTATTTTAAGCTGCAAAAACTTAGTGAACGTTAGCACTCTTCTAATAGCTGGTCTGGTGCTTTATTTAAAACCTGTTCAAAGTAATTATAAATTTCGTCTTTTTTGTTTAAACTATCCACAAGCCTCTACAGTACGCTCATTTTGGAGGTGGCAAACAGAAATAAGACAAGCATGAAACGCGGATGGTTAACTTCTCAAAAGAAGTTATTTCAGGATTAAAATTAGTGCATAAGAATAGCAGCTGTTGCTAAACTCTGGTCAGTTATTATATACAAAGTTAGGAAAATATATAATGCTACATTTATAAAATACAAAAAAGTATCTTTCTTCATTCGCATTGCTAATCTAACTATTTCATTTGTTCTATTCTTTCTTATAATTCACATTCCTAAAGACTTTTGTCTCTAGTCCACTTTCCTATTCTAGTCCTCTCACATTAACTGCCTCCCACCTTTTCCAACTTCCAAATTCCTTTAGCACATCCAATCTACTACAAAGATAAAGCAGGAAAGAAATGAAAAACAAAGAAACAACACACAAAAAAATAAAAAAGGTATCTATAATATTTACACTTACGATATTACTTTCATTTTAATTGCTAAGTTATATTTAAAATTGCATAAATATAAATAAAAGCATTCAGCTTGGCAAAAAAAGAATAAAAGAATAAAATACAGAATAAATGAAGGAACCTAGACCATTTCCCAGTGTTCCCTTCCGGTTCATGAATTACTTCCCTAATATGTAATTACTAACCCAAACTCAAAATCAGTACAGACTGTCTTGGAAGTTCTTGTCTGGCTTATTTTCTTCAATGTTAGGTTTGTGAATCTCACTGTATTGTTGCATATACTTAGTTGTTTTAAAATAGCCTGATATAGGTCTTGGCACAATGGCTCAGTGGCTAAATCCTCGCCTTGCAAGTGCTGGCAACTCATACGGGCACCAGTATGTCCCAGCTGCTCTACTTCCCATCTAGCTCCATGCTTATGGCCTGGGAAAGCAGTAGAGATGGCCCTAAAGCCTTGGGACCCTGCACCTATGTGGAAGACAGGAAATAAGCTCCTGGCTTCAAATAGGCTCAATCTCCAGCTGTTGTGGCCACTTGGGGATTAGAACAGTGGATGGAAGATCTTTGTCTCTCCTCTCTAAAAGTCTGCTTTTCAATAAAACCAAACAAATCTTAAAAAAAAAAAAGTCTAATATACACAACACTGCTCACATTTTACTTAACTTTTCTACTAGTAGGAAAACTCCTATATGTATCTTTTCTTGGACTTAACATACATTTCTGGAGTAGAATTTCTATACAGAGTGTACATATATTCAGATTTAGTAGTTCCTGCAAATATTTTTCCATGCTGGTTGTGACAGTTTACACTTTCATTAGTTATGAGGGCTTCCTACATCCTTTTGGGGGAATGCTGTTTGCATTTTCTTAATGTTCCCTGTCTTATGAAGATAAGCTCTGCTTGTAATGCAGTCCAATTTGTCTTTGATTCCTTAATGTCACTGTTTTCTGTCCTATTTTTAAAAAGCCTATTATTATTCCTTAGCATTTTAACTTTGCATTTAACATCTCATTTGAAAATTACAGTAGCCCAGGTTTAGGAATTCTGCATTTGTTTATGATGTCTAAGACACTAACTAGTATCTTAGAACTAGTTAAATGTTATCAATTAGTTGTAAGCAGCACTGCACTTGAACCAGCCAATAACTAGTTAAATGCTAAATCACCACTGTTGAAAACTATAGCATCCCATCTTAGTTTCTTAATCATTAAACACTTTACCTAGTCTTTAACCATTTAATTATTTTGTGGGCAAACTTATGTCTAATTTTGATTTTTTTCACTTCCATAAATATTGAATTAGATTCTTTATTTTCAAGCTCAAAATGCTATGTAGTATTCAAAAATGCTTTGATAATATTTTCACTTTTATCAAGACTGATGTGATTAAAAATAATTACTTGAAGTTCTATAAGTAGCTCTCATTACACTCAAAAAAATACCTAAAAATAACAAATTACATATTTTCACTCTGTAAAACTCTCAAATCCATGTGAGGAAATCCTATTAATATTTCAGAATTATTGATAGAGGCACTGAAATAAAAAGAGGCAAGTAATTTAATCAAATATGTGCACTAAACAGATACAGAATCTGTGTCCATTGTCTCTCTGTACTTGCCAATCAGCAAAGCCTTGGACCATTTGGCTTCTGTATCTCTCCTTTTAGCCAGGTGTTCTGTTCTTAACATCAGGCTTTCTCCTACTCAAAGCATTTCTTTGGCCTTTCTGCCAGAAGTGCCATCATCCCCTAATTCAACACAGAGACGAAGAGGACAAGTTCAGGTTCTACTGGGCCTTTAGGAAACAAAGTTGTGCCTTTGGCCACAAACATGTACACTTACAAGAAAGGTGACACTGTAGACATCCTGGGAAGGGGTCCTGTTTAAAACAGAAATGCCCCCATAAGTGTTATCACAGCAAAGCTGGAAGTCTACAATGTTACCCAGCACGCTGCTGGCATTGTTGTAAACAAACAAGTTAAGGGCGATATAGTTCCAAGAGAATTAATGTGCAAATTGGGCGTATTAAACTCTAGACAGCATCCTGAATTGTGTGAAGCAAAAGGATCAGAAAAAGTAGGAAGCCAAAAAGAAATGTACCTGTGCCCATCTGAAGCACCAACCTGCTCTACCCAGAGAAGCCCATTTGTCAGAACCAATGGAAAGGAACCTGAACGGCTAGAATTGGTTCATGAACAATTCATGGCATAATAAGTGTAATAACAAAAAGAATTCTGGGCTGTAAAAACAACAACAGCAGCAACAAACACCAAATAAAAAACAATGGGGACACTTACTTGGATTGCCATTTCTTCCACGGTTTTACCTGTCAGACTGCTAGTCACCCATTCAGTACCAGTATAAATATGAATTATTCATATTTTGTGATTAGCCAGTCTAAATTCTGATGGTTTTTCTTGGTTGTCTGTCTGAAACCTATATATTTTTTTCTTAGAATAATTTGCATTTATAAAAATTTTATTATTTATTTCCCAATTCCAACATGCTACAATTGCACTCATGTAGGGCAATTTTGTTTTATGACAACGCATTCCTTAAGAACTTATTGAAACATGTTTAAAATTCGAAGGAAATTTTTCTATGGGAAAAAGTGACATGTGGGTGTGTACTAGTTGGTGGACATCTTTCCAGCACACTAAATCTATAATCACGGAAATGCATGTCTGCTTTAGGGTTGTTCTTCCTTCAAAATGCTCCCCAAAATGACCACAGGGATCCATTTTCTTCAGACAGTCCTGTCCTAACTTATCTCTTTCCAGAGTTACCACTTTTCAGGCACTGTTTGTTTTTTCCTTTTTTAGGCATTACCGTAGAATTACGAATGGCAGTTAAAGAGTACGGGGACATGTTTCACGTTACAGCAGGAATAAAGGAAAACATGAGAGTCATTGGCATCAAAGCATGTGACAAACAGCGTGGCTCCTGTAACAGTGACATGTGTTGGCGTGTTTACTCTTCCAATCTTGAAGTTATATAATCTTAATGAATTCAATTGTAATGTGGAAAGGCGAGATTTTAAAATGTTTCTACCTGATAATACTTCATCATCTATTTCTAATACACATTAGATAGATGGTACTTTCTCTCCCAGGCTGCTCACTGCAATGAGTCGCACGGCAGGCCAGGTGACTTTCCCAGGTACTCCTGTTAGGAGCTTGTCATAGAGGTCCTGTCTGTTGTCCTAGTGTCAGTGCCATGCCCCACGTCTATGTTCCTGACTCCTTTCCTGACCCCTGGCTCCCTGTAAGTGCCTAAGCTTAAAATATATTGGCAGTGTTAGGTTTATGATTTGTTTATACGTCCTGTTCACAGATACTCATGTTCTCAACTTGTCTGTTTACCTGTTCATTGAACTCGGCCTCTCACAACCAAAGTCACACAGGATTCAGATTATTCTTGAAGTAGTACTTTACAATTTTTCGGGTAGGTTTATTTATCTTTACTGGAAAGGCAGATTTATAGAGAAAAGAGAATGATCTTTAATCTGGT